CTATCAGCAGCGTGGCCCTTCAGGCGGCCAACAGGCTGGCTATCAGCAGCGTGGCCCTTCAGGCGACCAACAGGCTGGCTATCAGCAGCGTGGCTCTTCAGGCGGCCAACAGGGTGGCTATCAGCAGCGTGGCTCTTCAGGTGGCCCGCAAGGCCCGCCTCTGCCTCAAACAGGCAACATAAAACGTGGCACTTTGGGTCGTGCTGGCTTTGTGGACATCAACTATTTGGAAGTGGACATCTCGAAGATGCCACGCATTGCCTATCACTATGATGTCTCTATTGTACCGGAACGACCAAAGAAATTCTATCGCAACGCCTTCGAAGAGTTCCGCACAAAGCATTTGAATGGCGCTATTGCCGCCTTTGATGGACGCAAGTCGTGCTACACCGTGGACAAGCTGCAAAATACAACTGGTGAAGTGCAGGCAAGCGAAAACTATAGGTTTTATCTGATCCATTTATTTGACTAACCAACCTGTTGCTGTACAGGTTGTAGATCGTCATGGACGCACCCTACGCTATACATTGACCATTAAGGAGACGGATAATTCGGAGGTGGAGCTCAGCTCACTCCGCAGCTATATGAATGATAAGATTTATGACAAGCCGATGCGTGCACTGCAGTGTCTGGAGGTGGTGCTTGCCGCGCCATGCCATTCGACTTCCATACGTGCGGGTCGCTCATTCTTCAAGAACTCTAACAACGGCGAGCGTTACGAGCTTGGAGACGGCTATGAGGCTTTGGTAGGACTGTATCAGAGCTTTGTGTTGGGCGATAGGCCATTTGTGAATGTCGATGTCTCACACAAATCATTTCCAATCGCTATGAATATGATTGAGTACCTGGAGCGCTTTGTACTTAGGTCGAAAATAAATGCACAATCGATGCTGGGTAACACTTATCAGTTAATACAATTCATAAAGGGCATTAATATCGTGTACGAGGCACCGGCCAGCTTTGCGACTGCACCACGCATCTACAAAGTGAACGGACTGTCACCACAGCCAGCCAACGAGCAAAAATTCCAACTGGACGACAAAACGATGACCGTCATTGAATACTTTCGTTCACGCAATTACAATTTGAAATATCCCAAGCTGCATTGTCTACACGTGGGCCCACCAGCAAAGAACATCTACTTGCCCATTGAACTGTGCCGCATCGAGGAAGGACAGGCCCTAAATGTGAGTAATATAATGAAAACACACCTAGACACCCATCGAAATATAGTTATCGTCTATTGGCAACGCAGCGCAAGGATGGCGCAAATCAGGTTTCAGAAATGATACGCTTTGCAGCCACATCAACCGACGAGCGCAAGAGAAAAATCATGGATCTATTGAAATACTTTCATCACAATACTGATCCAACTATCAGTCGATTTGGTATACGCATCAGTTCTGATTTTATTACGGTGAATAGTCGCCTGTTGACTGCGCCGCAGCTGGAGTACAGGAATAGTAAATTCGCATTCCCATCAAATGGAGCATGGCGCATGGATAATTGTCAATTTTTAAAGCCAACGCCAAAGGCTCATAAGTGGGCCATACTCCACTGCGAGGGAGCACGTCTGCTCTATAACAAAGTTTGTGAATTTGAGAAAATGGTGAGGGTAGTCTCGGAGTAATGCCTGCAGCATTTAGAATGATAATCATATGTATTTCTGTAGGTTATTAATCAATGTCGTGATGTGAATGTTAGCTTGGAGCCCAGAGCAGAAATTCGTACTTTCAAAGACGAACGCAACCTGGATGATCATTTCAAGGAGCTGAAACTCAATCGATTTGATTTAGTCTTTGTTATCATACCATCACGGGGAGCCACCTATGAAGTCATTAAGCAAAAAGCCGAGCTGCAATATGGCATCTTGACGCAGTGCATCAAGCACAATAATGTGGACCGTCGCCTCAATGCACAGTTGGTTGGAAACATTCTGTTGAAGGTCAATTCCAAGCTGAACGGCATCAATCACAAGCTCAAGGATGATCCATGTACACAGCTCACGAATGTCATGTATTTGGGTGCTGATGTCACTCATCCTTCACCGGATCAACGCGATATACCCAGTGTGGTGGGTGTGGCCGCATCACACGACGTTTACGGCGGCTCATTCAACATGCAATATAGATTGCAATGCGGGGCCGGCGGCAGAGCAGCCGAGGAAATATTAGACATGGAGTCCATTGTAACGGAACACTTGCGTGTGTACAAAGAGCATCAGAAGCGCTATCCAGAGCACATAATATATTATCGTGACGGCGTCAGCGATGGCCAATTCATGAAGATCAAGAACTTGGAACTGAAAGGCATTTACTCGGCCTGCGCCAAGGTTAAGCTCCTATTGGTTTAAAATTGTCGACAAAGTTAAAGCTATTCTCTTGGTTTTCAGTTGGGCATTAAGCCAAAGATGTGCTGCATTATTGTCGTGAAGCGTCATCACACTCGATTCTTCCCAAAGGGGCAGCCGCATCCAAGAAATAAATTCAACAACGTTGAGCCCGGCACTGTAGTCGACCGCACCATTGTTCACCCGAACGAGATGCAATTCTTCATGGTCAGCCATCAGTCCATTCAGGGCACTGCGAAGCCCACACGCTACAACGTAATTGAGAACACGGGCAACCTAGATATTAATCTATTGCAGCAATTGACCTACAATTTGTGCCACATGTTTCCACGTTGCAATCGCTCCGTCTCATACCCAGCTCCAGCCTATTTGGCTCACTTGGCTGCTGCACGAGGACGCGTCTACATCTATGGGTTAGCACCACAATCGATTTTCGACATGTTCATATTACTAATTGTTTTGTTTTAAATTTATGTTTGTTTATATTTAATAACAGATCTCGTCTATACCGCACGCCAGAGGAGGAATATAAGCGCCGTCTGATTGTGCCCGATTTTCTTAAAACTAATCCCATGTATTTCGTCTGAAAAGAAAATCTATCATATAAAATAACTCCCAAAATCTGCATTATATTCATTAAATTTTTTTTATCACATTTTTTAAACTATATAAATTATATGAATAATCAGCTTCAAATAGAACCAACTGTCTATGCGTAGCTTGTTTTGTTATAATTAAAACCACTTTGGTTTGTGAAGTTATGTTAACAAATAAGAGATTATATATAAAATAATAAAGCGGATGCAATTGGCTCTATCGGAACTGCTAATATTGTTTTTTTTTTTTTTTTTGCTTTGCTTTTTACATCGCATCAAAATGGAATCTATGTGACTCTTGCAAGCGCTCCTGCCTGTCCTCGCGCTTCTCCTTAACATACAGAACCAATATGATGAGCACAATCACGAGACAAGTGCCGCCTAATGCGACAACACTCATCAGGATCAGTTTGCTGGGCGTGACAAAGAGCAGCGCCTTCCAGTGCTGCGGCTGATCGAGCGGCTTGGGCACTACTATGATCTGAGAGTTGGGTATGAGCTGGGTCCAGCTATGCCACTTGCCATAGAGACCTACGACCAGCTGATCCACAAAATTTGGCGTGCGGCCGAGGCCGAAGCACGTGTAGGGCAGTTGGAGCGCGAAGTAGGATGATTGGGGCAGTTGGACACTGCTGCCACTTTGCTGATCGCCATCCTGCGTGGTTGTGTTGTACGTGATGATCGGACCAGGTAGATTGCTGCCATACGTGCGCTTCTTTCGGCCCAACGGCGTGCGCAATGTGGGATTTAGGACATTCACCAAGCCAGTCAACACAATCACCTTCACAAAGTTGGCGTCGTAGTCGAGGGTGTTGCGGAACGCAAGTGGACGATAATTGCCATTCTGCTGCTTCTCCATGAGTATCACATCCAGCACACCATCCTGGTAGAAGTCATAGAACGCACCAGCAACTGTATTGTTGCCCATGGGCGCCAACGCTGTCCAGTGCACTTCGAAGGTGCGCTTGAATTTCTTGCTGCACGTCTTGCAGGCGACATTCTCTAGGAGAAACGTTTGCATCACAGGCTTTGCCACACTCAACGGTTGCAAGGTGACAAGCAAATCTGGGTAGCCATCAAGATTGAAGTCACCACTGCGGGCAGTGATGGTCTTCAAATACACATCATTCGGGTCTGGCGGCACAAATCCCCAGGTTACGCCATGCGGATCCTTAAAGTTCACATGGACATCGTAGAACATGTGTCCATCGTGCACAAATATTGTCGAATTTTTGCAATTCTCCTGCACGCAAAAGGGTACGACAATATTTTGCACGCCACGTAGCTCGAAGTCCATGAAAACTGCTTGGCCCACAACGTAGTCGTTAGAGCCCACCAGCTCGTAGGTGATGGAATTCTGATAGCTAAAGTTTTCTTGACCATCCTTCTCATTGATCCCATACCAAATCTCGTAAGAGGTCTTCGTTTGTAGAAACAGATCAGCTAGATAATCGCCATTCAAATCCAAATATGCATTCGCGTTGGGGATGATCAAAGTTTGAGCTGTGCCCCCAGTGGGCATGGCCTGATGCACGACCTTCGGTGGCTCCCGTTTGTTATTAAAGATCCAGAAACTTCGCGTATCATTCGGATCTAATCCATACAGATCAATGATCATGTCGTGATTGAAATCTAGAGCCATTGCCTCGCCCTTTGTTTGAATAATGGGCTCTTTTGAACAATTCAACATTGTGGTATTACCCCAACTGATATAGACGTCATAGATATTCTTGCTTCTCTCCACATTCACCATTACGTCCATCAAGGCATCGCCATCAAAGTCTCCAGGTGTTACGCTTACAATCCTTTTGTCATTAAAGTTGCAGAAAGGACCCAGGCGTAATAGTGGTTCCGTGTCAGCTCCTGTTGAGCATAATAATTATCATACATTCGTTAAGTTCAAGAAGAATTTACTAATCACATTTGTAGTACTTTCATCACTCCCAAATTGTGTATCATATACGCACCATATAATATTTGTAGAATTTTTCTGTCATCTTGAATGACGAATATGTCAGTAAGTTCATCGGAATTAAAGTCACCAAAAGCTGCCACAACACCTTCCTTAACATTCCCAAACACAATATTTGTGATATCACTGGCGTGGATTACGGCTGCATAGAGCAGCACCAGGACCAGACATTGGGAATGCATTTGGTTGATTTCCCCTAATTTTACACTAAGGATTTGCGTCTGCTTTTTTGTTTTTTTCTTATTATCTTTTGTTGTTGGTCTCTGAAAATCAATACTGAGTCAGATGTAAATTATCGATAGACATTAAAGTGCTGCCACTTGCGGAGCTGCCGGATCTTGACGAATAAATCGATAAATAAGGCATCTCTGGGTTTCGACGTTCGGAACAGCAACGCAGAGAAAACTTTGCTAATAACTAGTAAATAATAACAAATACAATATATAAATCATGGTAAGTACAAAGCACAATGCATATCTGTAAATTAAGTAACATTATTTGTGCATTTGAGTGCAGACGAATGTTTGTTTTTATTAGCTGCTGCTTCTTCCAGCAGAGAAGCGCCAGCGCACGCACAAATTGTTGTAGTTGGTGTATTTATGCAATTCGCATTTACATCAAATCTGTGTGAATGTATTGGTGGTTGGCTAACAATATTCATATTGTTTATTTTTGCAGAACAAGCTAAAGTCAAGCCAGCATCGTGACAAGGTGAAGAAATTTATCTCACTAACACAGACAGGCGAACAGACAGCCATTTTCTGCCTTCAACAGAATGATTGGAAAATGGATTTGGCCAGCGATAACTATTTTCAGAATCCTGAATACTATTATCGTGAGCTCGATCGCAAGCGTATCGAGCAGCTATTTATGCGCTATCGCGACCCAACCGATGCCCAGAAGATCAGCTCATCGGGTGTCATAAAATTTCTTGAGGATCTGGAATTGAGTCCTGACTCCAAACTTGTGCTCATCATCGCCTGGAAATTCCACGCAGAGGTGCAGTGCGAATTCTCGCGGGATGAGTTCATCAATGGCATGTGTGACCTAGGCATAGACAGCATAGAGAAGCTTAAGTCAAAATTGCCGTTGCTGGAACAGGAATTGAATGATGCTGGAAAATTCAAGGATTTTTATCATTTCACTTTCAACTATGCGAAGGATCCGGGCCAAAAGGGGATTGATCTGGATATGGCTATTGCGTATTGGTGTATTGTACTCAGCGATCGTTTTAAATTCTTGGGCATCTGGTGCAAGTTCCTCGAAGAGAAACACAAACGTGCAATTTCAAGGGACACTTGGAATTTGCTGCTGGATTTCGCCACCAACATCGATGATCGGATGAGCAATTATGACGCGGAGGGCGCTTGGCCCGTGCTTATTGACGATTTTGTCGAATGGTGTCAGGAGAATAACCACCTTGCCACAGATCAGACGCAGCCCACACAGCAATCGACGTCCCAGAAGAACATATCAAGCGCTTACCAGACTTCGCATAGTACAAATATGAATTATGGCTAACGATTGTTGCTTTATATATACATATATTCTCATTAATTATAATTTTTTTGCTTTTTATTCGGATTATTTTAAATAATGAAGATAATAAGCAATGCGAGTTAATTTACAATACCACTTCGATAAAAGGAAAGTAAATAAAATTAGTAAATGTAACCAGCAAATATTTACCTTTGAAGCTCCGTTTAAGGCCGATACAATATTTAAGACATATCGATATACATCTTATCGATTTAATCTTCTGGTCTATCATCCCCAACTTTGTATGGCTAGTGTGACCGTAACGTACAAAAGGCAATTGAGATTATAACAACGATTTTTCGTCGCTCTGGTCGCTTATTAGAGAATCTGAAACTATTTTATAGTATATCATTGCATTGCGTGCGCTGCACGTAAGTGTGCGAATCCGCTTTACTTGCAGCGTATATCATGTAATGTGCAAAATTATACAAAGTGCATGTAACGCGTGTAACAATCAATTGTTGCCCCACACTCCCTGTGGTTTGTACGAGTGTGAGTGTGAACAAGAGTGCGTGTCTGTGCGTTCGTTTGCTTGTGTGCGTAAAAGGCAGCCAGTGGGCGGCCCATAAGGAGTCTACACCTATTATCACTCACACACACACAGCCAACAATAAGGATGTATTTGCCTTGGCTCTGGCACTGAGCTAGGTGTGGAACACTCGCCGCTGAATGACAAATGTATGTGTCATTATTATTGTTGTTGGTGTTGCTGTTGGGGCCTCTGAACGCAATTACGTTGATTTTTGTGTTTCCATTGTGCGTCGAAATCCTTTAAATAGAACCCCCATCGAGAGCTGCCCTTGGCGGTTTAAGCAACCACTTGACAAATAATAAAACAAATTAAATTATCATGCGAATAAAATACAAATAGATATACAGTGGAACCTATACAAATACACACACACGACACACGTATGCAAATGCAGAGGCAGACTTGTATATATATGTATGTGTGTGTAAATAAGTGGCACTAAACATATAAAAATAAATAAAAAACAAACCCCAACACTTAACTGATAACCGCAGAGCCAGCCGTCGACGTCGTGACTACGACAACTAGCGACGCACGATCGGCGCTACACGCTCTGTCTGTATGCATATATTGTACATATGCCCAACTTGAGGTCCCCTACATCAAGGCCTAGCAGTCAACCCCACCCCATTGTAATTTCAACGGTAAACGTCGCGCTTTCGATTTTAGGAACGATATTCATACAAATATGTACATACATACATCAATTTAATTTGTAAGCCGACTTTTATCACAGCACAGTGTATACTCGTAAAGAAGAACCTTCACAAACAAGTAGACTGTAGATAATAAACCAGCAATTTGCGTATATATATATATATATGTATATACGATTTTGATAGTAAACACACTGTATTATTTTTTTATTGCAATCTTAATCAAATAATAATACGAGTCTGTTTTTATTACATACATATACACATACATACATATCATTAAGTTTTAATACTATTTTTTCATTCAATTTGAGCCTTAATTTATATATGTATGTATATATGTATATAGTCGCTAAAGTCGGTTTATGTCTTTTTTTTTTGTGATAAACTAAAGAATTGAATAAATAATTTGCAACACGATTTCTTGCCTTGCACTTGTAAATTTTTTAATTCAATAAAGATAAAAATAGCAACATCTACGAAAAGTTTGTTAGCATACTGTATAGATACATACATACATATATATTTGTGATCACTTTTTTAGCAGGTGAACTATTTTATATGTACCATATACAAATACGTATATGTACATGTATATGTATTTATTTATAATGAAATTTTCATTGACGTGTGTGAAAATGAAAATTCAACAACATTTATTTCGATATTTTTGCTTGCCTGCGCGTGTGTGTGTATATGTTTGAGTATATGTGTTTATTGTAGCAATTGCCAGTGTCTGGGGCAGCGTTGTCAGCTCCATGCTAATTATTGTTTTTTGGTTATTTACAGCAGCCACAGAAGTAGCAGCCGCAGCAGCGGCAGCAGCAGCAGTAGTTGTATCAGCGGCAGCAGCAACAGCAGCCGCCATGTCAAACCACAGCTAGAGCAATTTTAGCAACAACAGCAGCCACATCAACAACAGCAACATGCAAGTCGTATAAGTGCGTTGAGCTAGCCACGCGTTAACATCATGAGCCGCCAGGAGAGCTTGGCTTCCAAGACGTCGTCGATGTCAACAGGAGCGGCAACAACAACAACAACATCAGCAGCAACATCAACAGCCTCATCAACGTCGACAGCAACAACAACTGCAGCAACAACAACAACAGCTACAGCGAATACAGCATGCATCAAAATATCAACATCAACACCGCAGAAACGAGATGAATCCACGCAGGAGCAACAGCAAGAGTTCATTGATCGCAGCTTGGCCAGTGAGATTGGTGCAAACGATGCCAGCGCGATATGCGACTTGTCCATCAACAGCAGCTGCAGTGACGCCAGTCCCGTGGCCAAGCGGCAGTTAAGCTCTGCCAATATATCGCGTATACGTCCGCAGTCCAGTTACTCGGCGCGTGTGCTGATCTTCGAGGACTCGGATCACGATGCAGCCGCTACGGCTGCGGCGAGTGTGAATGCTTTGGCGCACGCTCATTCAGTCAGCACCGCCGATGCCAGCAGCGGCGTTGAGCTGTTGCCTGCGTCGCCGGCCAAGCTGGGTGCCAATTGCAACGACAGCACCACCAATAGTCACAGCAACAACAACAGCAACAGCAACAGCAATAGCAATAATGGATCCTCGCTGATACGCAATCTCAATTTAACCAAGAGCTCGTCGGGCGGCCTCTCGGGCAGCTCTAGCTCGCTGCACTCGCGCGGTTATACGGCGCTGCTGCGCAAGATCTCCTATCAGCAGCATACGAATTCCCTTCGGGCTGCCAGCAGCGGTAAGAGTTGTCTCCTCCCTGCCTTGGTTCATTAATATTATAATTAGGGTTTTGTAGAAGCGTCCAATTTGCTGCGTATGCGTCATTCCTCGCTGGGCAAATCCGCGCCGTGCCTGACGGGCAATTACTTTCGCCATGAACTCAGTTGCGGTGGTCCCGGTGTTGGAGCAGTGTCCGCAGCCGCAGGAGGCGCGGGTGGTATGAATTCAACAGCTCCTGGTCTAAATATCTCACGCTCTGGCAGTGGCATTGCCCTGTCCAAGCACCATCATTTGCATGGCGTGGTCATGCGCGGCTCCTCTTCTGGCGCTGGCAGCAGTGGATCGAGCGGTGTGGCTCATCATCGCTTGAGTCTGGTCACCAATGCTGCTGCCATGGCTGGTAGCTCACGTGCCCATTCACCTTATTCGGCTAGCCCGGCGGATAGTCCGCGCCTCAATTCGCCCATGCCGTTCGCATTTGCACCCATCAAACGCATCGCCTCTTGTCGCGGTGTTGCCGATGGCAGACGTTGGTCGGTGGCATCGTTGCCGTCCTCCGGGTACGGCACCACACCAGGCAGCTCTAATTTATCGGTAAATATCCGAGACCATGTTATTAATTATATATCACAATGCCATTGATTTTCCTATGTAGTCGCAATGCTCCAGTCAGGAGGCGTTAAATCATTTGCCGCACAATCTGCCGCCTGGTCACGAGGATGCAGCCGCACTGGCAGCTGGTGCCTGCTGTGCGGAACACTTGAAGCAGCATTGCCCTAAGCATTGTGCATTGTTGCTCGCTGCTCATAAGCCACAACAGCAGC